GAAGGAGGAGGGCCAGCAGAAAGGCCAGTGGAGGCCTCTCAGAGTCTCTTGCGATATCTCTTGGGCGCTTCTTGGAGGCCTCTTGGGGCTTCGTGAGTGCCTCTTCGCGGTCCGGGGGGCCTCTTGAGGCGTCTTGGGTGCCTCTGAGGTGCCTCTTCTGGCTTTTTGGGGCCGCTTGGGGGCCTCCTGGGGGCCTCTTGTGGGTCTCTTGGGGCATCATAGACGCTTCGTGGCGCCATCGTGGGGCCGTTATGGGGGGCCTTGGAGGCCCTCTTGGGGCCATTTTGGAGGATATCGATCAAAGAAGGGGGAGCCCCCGCTTGAACCCCCAAAGGCGCCTCTTGGGGCCCTCTTTGGGCCGCTCTTGGAGGGCTCTTTGGCGTTCTGGGGGGCCGTCTCAGGGCTATCTTGGAACCTCTCTTGGGCCCTCTCCGACCATCTTGGAGCCAGCTTAAGGCCTCGGAAGGCCATCGGGGGCCGTCTGGGGGATAATGCAAACATCGCTGATTTGCTTACGTCTTTTGACATATATTGGCGTCTTGGGGGCCGCCTTGCGAGGCTTTGTGGGCGCTTGGGCCCATCTTGAAGCGGTCTTGGGGCGTCTTGGAGTACGTTGAAAGCAATATTGAGGGATCTTGCGCTATCTTTCGCTATCTTGGATGCCATCTTGGGCTCTTGGATGCCGTCTTGGAGCCATCTTGGGCCATCTTGGACGCTCCAACGCCTCCCCACCCACCCCGTCCAGACTCAGGGGGAGGGGATAAGGGGAAGGGTTAACCCCCTGACGATGCTGACGAGGATGATGAGGATGATGAGGATGATGACGATGATGATGACGATGATGAAGGACTATGGCTATGGCGATGTTGATGATGACGATGATGATGGTGATGGTGATGATGATGATGCTGATGATGATGCTGATGGTGATGGTGATGGTGATGCCGATGATGATGATGATGATGATGATGATGATGATGTGATGATGATGATGGTGATGGTGATGGTGATGCTGATGATGATGATGGTGATGATGATGATGATGATGAGATGAGGATGAGGATGAGGATGAGGATGAGGATGATGAGGATGATGATGATGATGATGATGCTGGATGATGATGATGATGATGATGATGAGGATGATGATGATGATGATGATGATGATGATGATGATTATGATGATGATGATGATGATGATGATGATGATGATGTGGTGGTGGTGGTGGTGGTGGTGGTGATGGTGGTGGTGATGATGATGATGACGGTGGTGGTGTTGATGATGATTATGATGATGATGACGATTCGTTTCCCGACATCAGGACCAAGCAACACACAAAGTGAACACAGTCGTATGCAATCGAGGGTCCGTCGCAGAGAGCATCCAATGATTTCGTACTGCCCCGCATGGGCCCGGCATCCGTGGGTGCTGCACAGGGAGGCGTCTTGCGCAGCGCTAGCCACGCGACGAAAGAATTTCGGCATACACTGACGCTCGATACATGACCATGCAGCGAACGGAAGTCGAGGCCATTGTCCGCATCGACTATAGCAGCGTGCGTGCTCGGGCACGGGCGTGGCTGGAAAAAAACCGAGACATAGCAAAAGGCGCTAGCAATGCTTGTGCGTGCTCAGTGGAGCCCGCGGTAAGCGTCGAGGTCGTTGCTGTAATCGATAGACAGCCATCAGCGTGCCGTCCTGTTCCCAGAAGGGGTGAGAAACGGTGGCGTCGAACACGCGCTCGACGGCCGAGCATACGATCTCTTCGCTGGTGCCCGTGAGGCGGGTCCTCTGGATGGCGATGGCCTGGTTGATGGCGTCGCGGATGTCGACGGGGATAAACTCATCGATGGAGTCGGTATGCTCGTTCGGGCGGCTGATCTCGTCCCTTGTGGTCGAGGTGTTGAGCTCGGTCCCGTAGCGCAGTTCCTCCTCAAGCGTGTGGGAGAAATCGCACGTGAACTGCGTGCTCTCGTTCAAGCTCTCCTCGAGAATGAGCTCTGGCACCTTGTCGGTGACGACGGCGGTGTGCGGTAGGTCATCTGCATGTCGTAGATCCTGTCGGTCCTCTTGTCGTAGTACAAGTCCTGGCGGAAGGCCAGTGGCAGCACCCATCCGGAAGTGGCGCCGTCGAAGCCGATCGCGGTGCGCCTGAGCTCGTGAGCGCCGCCCGACCACGGGGGCGCACAACGTGCTTCATCCGCCGAGGTCATGTGGTGCCAGGCCTTCTGACAATGCTCGGCCGGTGCGCGGCGCCCGCGCGCTGGAACACCACACGGCGACATGGCGGTGTGCGGGGTACCTTCGGGCCCTCCGCCTCTGGGGCTGGCGGGAGGGTGTTGCAGAAAGGCCACTACTCCTTAAGAAGGCCTGAGAGCGCAGCGGCCTTTGATGATGACGATGATGATGATGCTGGTGGTGGTGATGATGGTGATGGTGGTGATGGTGATGACGATGGTGGTGATGATGATGGTGATGGGTGTGATTAGCAGTTCTTGCACTGAAGGGGTCCTAGCGGAGGTTGAACGATTTGGCGCAACCGCCCGGCCAATTTCGGCAGGCGGCCGGGTTCCCTGGTTCCCAGTTCTGGGTTCCCGGGTTCCCGGCTGCTGGTTCTGAGCTGAACTCTGTGGCTGGCGGGTTTCCCGGGCTTCCGGGTTCCTGGGTTCCTTGTCGATCTCCTTAGTGATATCTCACCGTCGACCTCATTACCCACTTCTTTATCAATCTCACAATCGATCGCACTACCGATCTCACTATAGATCGCACGAGCGATCTCACGAGCGATCTCACGATCGATCTCACGATTGATCTCACCATCGTTCTCCATGAATCGACTTCACTGGCGGTCTCACCGTCGACCTTACTATCCTCCTCACGATCGATCTCACTATCGATCTCAGCATCGATCTCACAATCGATCTCTATATCCATATCACTAATTGTCATATCATCCACTGATTGGTGTTTTCTCTGGTGTAATGGTGCTGATCATCATGATGGTGTTCAGGATGGTAACGGTGATGACGCTGATCATACTTCTACTGCTATTATGCTGGTGATGATGGTGACGATGATGCGATGTGGGTGCTGGTGATAGTGACGATGATGCTGGTGACGATGATTATGACAGTGAGGGGGAGATGAAGGGAATCGGAGGTGCACAGTGAGTGAAATGTTACTCAGAAACGTGCTTGCGAACCTTCGGGGAGCGCGTTTCATAGGTATCCCCTGTGGACGTCGGAGAGCTCGCGCACACTCATGTTATTTTAATGATGCTGTACGTTCTTGCGCTACTTATCGCTTGTACGCGATTTCCGTTCATGCCAGGACAGGTTCGGAAAACAAGCGTTTCGTTTGAGATATCCTCTCACAATCGACATGCCTGAAGCTATTATTTAAGACGTCGTATGCTAAAAACGAACGTTTTGTCTGAGCCATCATCAGAACATGGTGATGTTGAACTCGCTGGACTACTTCGGAACTTCCAACCATGGCCGTTTGGCCTGAGACACACTCGAAGAAATGGGATGCAACAGTCACTGTTTCGAGAGATTTATCGGAGCGCTCTTGGATGGTTCCAAGGTGGCCCACGCACTTATTAAACCAATGATACCGGAGAAACATCAATCATAATCTTTGTAAGGCTTTAGGGCTATGGGGCGATAAGGCTATAGGGCTAAAGGCTATGGGGCTATAGGGCTACATGGCTACAGGACCATAGGGCTATAGGGCTATTGGGCTATAGGGTTATGGGCCTGGTGGGCTATAGGGCTATGGGGCAACAAGGCTATGGGGCTATTCAGGCCATAGGGCTACAGGGCTACAGGGCTATAGGGCTATATATATATATATATACATACATATATACATAGAGCTACCGGGCACCTGGGCACCCGGGCACCTGGACACCCAGGCACCCGGGCACACGGGCACCCAGGCACCCGGGCACGGGCACCGGGGCACCCGGGAACCCGGGCACCCAGGCTTGGTTTTAAACTACTTCTGTTAAAACGTAAGCGCTTCGGAAGGGTCACCGAAACCATCAGATTACGATGGAGATCTCGGCGATGCCGATGATGGTGGTAGTGATGATGATGATGATGATGATGATGATGATGATGATTGATGATGATGATGATGATGATGAGGACGGTGATGATGATGCTGATGATGGTGATGATCATGATGTTGATAGTGATGGTGGTGGTGGTGATGTTGACGATGATGACGATGACGATTATGATGCTGATGTTGATGATGGATGATGATTGCGGCGATGGTGGTGACGATGATGATGGTGAGTATGCTGATGTCGCTGGTGTTGCGAAGCCAATGTTTATGATGATGCTGATACTATTGATGGTGCTGACCCTGATCATTGTGATAAGATACTGATGACGATGGTGATGATCTTGCCTTTGCTGTTGCTGCTGTTGATGGTGGTGATGATCATGCAATGCGGTGCTGGTGATGGTGATACTGATGATGCTGATGCAGATGATGATAAGGATGAGGGTGATGATGATGGAAATTGTGATGATGATGGTGCTGATGATGACGATGATGCTGATTATAAGGATGATGCTTATGACGATGATGCTGATGATGATGATGATGTTGCTGATGCTGCTGATGATGATGGTGATGCTGATCAGGGTGATGATGATGGTCAGCGTCATCATCATCATCATGAAGCTGATGATCATCAGCATCATCATCATGAATGTGAACGTGGGGGAGACGAAGTATATTGGATAGGCACAGTACGTGAGAGGAGACTCAGCAGCGTGCTTGCGATCGTTCGGGGAGCGCGTTTCCATGGGTCTTCCCTGTGGGCGTC